GCATTTTGCATCAATGAAAGTGGACTAATGCTAAATATGTATCTTGTTCATTATATGACAGTGGCAGTCTCATTTTGTATCTGCATTTTGCATCAATGAACATATGCCAGTGGCAGTGGCAGTGGCATTTTAATTTGTATCTGCATTTTGCATCAATGATAGTGGCCTAATGCTAAATATGTATCTTGTTCATTATATGACAGTGGCAGGGACATTTTGTATCTGCATTTTGCATCAATGAATATATGTCAGTGGCAGTGGCAGTGGCATTTTAATTTGTATCTGCATTTTGCATCAATGACAATGGCCTAATGCTAAATATGTATCTTGTTCATTATATGAAAGTGGCAGTGGCATTTTGCATCAACGAACATATCACTTAACATACTTTGATTGGCATTATTATCAACTTGCTTGTTATTATTGTTATGATTGGCATTAATTATATCACTTGCCATACTTTCCATACTTTGATTGGCATTATTATCAACTTATTTGTTATTCTTGTTTGACCAGCAAGGCAATATTATGAACTTACAAATCATTTTCCAACTTTCAACACATAGCAAAGATGGGCATTGATGCAACTTACTTGTAAATTGTTATTCTTGTTTCACATGTGTGTTTGGTTCTTGTCAGAACTAAGGAAATTTTTTGTTAGCACTAAGGAAATTCTTGTTTGACATATATATATATATATATATTTGTAGTGATTGGCATTACATTGCCATGTGTGTTTGGTTCTTGTCATAATAACCTATACTTGTCATAATTTTGAAGTTCCAGCCATGAATAGCTAGAACAGCCACTACGAGTCCTCGTGCAACTTCGCGGCCTATGATGAAGTTGACAAAGGCGAAACGAGCACCAACCAGGTAAGATTACAAAAGCATCCATGAGCATTGCAAACACATGCATATATATACATATATCATTTAACCATTCTTTATTGATGATTTAAAATATTTGACTTGCCAGGCGTATGTACGAGACCCATCTCCAGAACTGGTCCAGCAGCAGCTACCGGTACGTGACGTGGACATGCTCAGCCGTGAGCTTGTCGCGTTAAAGGAGAGTACAATGAAGGCACTTAACGAGTTGAATAACTACCTGAAGAAAGAGAAGGATGATATGATCGACGAGATCTCCAATCTCGTCGATAAGAAATTGAAGCTCGTCGACTAGAAGTAGCTACTGGTCACCGAGATCGAGTCTACAAAGAAGTAGATACGGCTCCTAAAGGCCGAGAGGGAGGAGCTGAAGACCCGCAAAGTCTATTTTAGGAAGGAGGGAGAGAGCAACAGGAACAAGTTGTGTGAGATGAGGATCATTCTTCATCGTAGCTAGTTAGCGCACGAATAACAAGTTGCATGACATCGATGACGTACAATACTTTTGCTTGTATGAGCTAGCCATTGGATAACTTTTGCCTGTAGGCAGTAGCAAGCTAGTTACTGAAAACTGTAGTAATAGCTGGGAATATTATGTGGATTTGAGACTTACCACTAGAAGTTTAAATGGCTGCACATATACTAATCGTTGGGTATATTTTTTTATTGCTAAAAAATACAAATTGCTAGCGTTGCCTCACAATAAATGCCATAGATAAAACAATATATTGCTGGCGTTAGCCAGGTGGACGCCATCAGTACTAAAATACTACTGATGTGTCTGCCAACGTGATAACCCACAAGTATAGGGGATCACAATAGTTTTC